ACCATTACACCACTCTGGTTCTCAAAACTTCATATTTTGCCCACCTTAATTGACTCTCCATCTACACCACTGGAATCGCCACTTCACATCCTTGATATTTGGCAAGTCCTTGCAATTCTATTGATCCTGAACTGCAACATTCTGCTGGTTTCTGAACAGCAACAAAAATAAAGGACTTGAGTCTCTTCTCAGGGGCTCACAGCTGACTGTTGCAGAAGATTTCCGTAATTATTATTATTATTATTATTATAACATTTCTATGCCGCCCCTTGCCGAAACCTCGGGGCGGCTTACAACATGATAAAATACATTGAAATACAATAGTACATAATAAATTACCATTAAATACAAAAATACATTGATTTACAAATATAAAATTAAAATTATCAGTATAAAATAAAAATACAGGAGGAGAAAGAGAAGGAAGAAGAAGTTGCCCTGGCCAGATCATATGTTTTAACAATTGAAATGATGTTTAAATAAAAAGGTCTTTACCTGACGCCGAAAAACCAGTAACGACGGTGCCAGGCGGACCTCTTTGGGGAGTGAATTCCATAGGTTGGGCGCCACCGCAGAGAAAGCCCTCCTCCGGGTACTTACTCTCCTAATTTCTTTCATGGAGGGTTCCTGCTGGCTTACAGATCTTGGGGTCATTCCACCTGAACAATGGTGGATTCTTCTGCTTTTCAGTCCTCTTCTGGACTGCCCCTGCCAGGCCTTTGTAGGGCTGCTGCTTGTTCAATCCATCCACATTTATATATCACTACAACTCAGTGTCAAGGCCATGGCAGGCTGCTCCTTTGGCAGAGAGATTCATTACATCAGTGGCAGCTCTGACTTACATCTGGTAAGCAAGCTTGTCAAATACTCCTATGTGAGATGCACAGAGACTGGAGGGAGGGAGGGAGGGAGGGAGGATAAGGTGGAGGGAGGATAAGGTGCTGGCATTCTACTGCTCCAGAACTGAATCCTTTTGACAATTACCCAAACTTTTGGTTTGTTACAGAGGCAAGGCAAAGGGTCGGCTCCTTTTGCCACAAAGACTTTCAGGTTGGGGAGTATGGGCAGTCTTCTTGGCCTGTGAACTGTCAGAACTGCAACTCCTCGTGCCATCTCAAATGCACTCAACATGCGTGATGGCAGCTTTGATCACGTTGCATGCAGGCATCCATCTGCCCGATCTCTGCACAGCAGCAACTTGGTCAACTCCATCCCCCTTCACCAAGCATTATTGCCCAACATTTGTGCCAGGGCTGACTGCGCATTTGGGATAGCAGTCCTTTCAGCACTCCTCCAATCTTCCACTGACAACACTGACCCACCATCCACTTATGCGTAAGCTTGCTGGTCGCCCCTGTGTGTGATGCACAGGGACCATGGAGAAGGAGGGCAGGATGCTTACCTGTAACCGTCATTCTTCAGGTTGTCACCTCTGCATTCACACAACCCACCCGCCTACCCCACTGGGTGTCATGAGCAACCTAGCTATTTGTGCTGCACGTGTTTGTCCTTTTGCTGTGAATGTCTCCCATCTGTGGTACCACTCAATAATGCAAGTATGGTTCTGTCACTCCTTAATGTGGAGATGGTACTGCTTCGCTCAGTGTGAGGCCAGTACTGCTGATCCCCCTTTGGGCCTGAGGGCACAGGGCAGGCTTGCTGGAACTGAGGGAAATGACGGGAGCCCCTCCCTTCTGTAGGGATGCTGGGGTGGGGGTGGGGTTCCTTCCAAAATGCTCTTATCTGTTGAATCTTGCAGCAGCAGGCGCAGAGCCCGTGTGTGTGAATGCACGGATGACCACTCGAAGGTTGACAGTTAGAGGAAAGCAACCTGCCTTTTATCCAGCAGTGTGGCATGATAGCTCTGTATTTGGTAAATAGTTGCCTTAACGTGCAGGAGTTTAAACCAATTTAAATACCAATCTGTATTCATATTTAGAGACTCTATTTTGTGTCAAAAAGCTTCAGCAAAGGGTTGCATGATTCTGCACAAAATGACATCTTATTTCTAAATATGACATACGGCAGATGGTCTCTGGTCAGGAAAGATTAAAATTAAACCTTCTAAACTGCTGTATATCTCCAGCAATGTATCTCTCTGAGCCCGTTTCTTTGCGCATGAGGGGAAGAGAGAAATATAAACAGTTTTCGTGGATCTAAATTAAATTTCTCTGTTTACTATACAAAATAATTTGAGTCTCAGCATGTTTTGGAAGCAGGACAGTTGTGCAACTCCTCTTAAAATAGGACGATCAAGTACTGAAGCAACCCATTCTGGCAGGAGGATGCAGGATGAGGCATGTACCTGTGACATGCCTCTCTCCGTGTGCTACTTTTTGAATTTAAAGCCAGCACGTGGTGAATGCAGTTGAGGTACAGTCTCTGCATGGCGTGTGGGCCACCAAAGAAGATGACTTGTGCTAGCAGCACAGACTGAGTGGGGGAAATCAATTCTTTTCCAATTCAGTTATCATTGTGCACATGCCCTGCTTCCACAGAAAAAGTTCCCTTTATATATAGGATAGGATGGATAATAGTGTAGCTGATACGTTAGTGCAGCTTGGGCTGCATCTTGAAGCCAAAGTTTAGGGCCACACAGCCTGGGGATCCCAGATGCTTTTGGAACGCAGGAACAAACTTCATTTTATTTCTATAGCCGTGATGGTGCCATGATTTAACCAACCTTAAAGTGAAAAGTTGCACATGGTGAGAATACGCTTATTGTTTAATCAAGATTGGTGAACATGAGGGATGCAGAAGTAGCTGCAAAGTATGGAATGGCAGTGTAGGGGAAGGGAGAGAAAGGGAAATGCTAGCTGTGCATTTCACAACTGCAGTAATATTCAAAGTTGTCATTTAATTCCTATAATACCTAATGACTGAAGTTGTCCGGGCAGTGGACAGCAGTGATAAATACTATACTATGTAATATACCTCTAAGAATTCACTCCCCTTCTATTCTGTTCTCTGGCATGGAGTTCCCAGTGGTCCTCATCCAGAAGATGACCCCATTTCCTGCTTTCAGGAACTCTGCCATGCCATTTATATCCAAATTATTCACTGGGCCATACTGTATATGCATTGGTTTCTGTTTGGGTGCAGGGGAGCTAAGCTATGGATTTTTTAAAAGGCCATTTGTATTCAGACTATTTCAAGAAGAAACTGGCATTTAAACTGAGATATTTAAGTGTGAGGTAACAAACCACATTGTCAGGAAAAGTAAAACTTTAATTGACTTGAACATCTAATGCTATTGAGTGGGTTCCCACAACACAATAACCCACCATGATGGGATGTCATGGTATCTAAACCCAGTGCGTTTTCCTTAGGATAGCGTAATGTTCATGAACAAGCCATGCTGAGAATCCATAGCTCGTTGGCTTTGGTTGATCATACCCATGGTTGATCGTTAGGTCATCCAAAACCTGGGAGAGCAATTTATTTTGGGTTGCTGGGATCAGCTGCAAACCCACTCAGGAAGAGCAGCAAAAACCACTGTGCCACTCTGTAATCTTGCTAATGCAGCCTCCAGCCTTCCTCACCAGTGACAGCAATTCTTCTAATACCAAAGCAGCACTTTGGAGGCACCTTTCAATACTTCTCTGAGTTTTCAGCTATTTCCAGATGGGGAGAGACTAACTCCTTCTGCTTTTGCTGCTCCTTTTGCAGTTGCTGCAGGTGCACACATTTCCTGCCTCCCACCTTTCAAATAAGTACAAATATTCCCAACACTTAAAAACAAAGGGGGAGCTAATGATGCTTCCTGGTCTGTTTCTTCTGTAACTGCACCACTGGGTCAGGCAGGATGGCACATGTTAGACCAGTGAAAATGTGCTCTTGCAAAAGATTGACCACAAATAATAATTAGAAACAAATTAACAATCATCTGTATTCTCTCTATGCACCAAACATTTTTAAAGTGGCAAACAGTAAGGGATAGCAATCAGAGGAGGGAGGGGCTGGGATGAGGAGACAAGGCAGGTTCTGGCACAAAGAAACCTGAGAATATGTACCTGAGACTACTGAAGTGCTGATGGGGAAAGAGGGGGAGAATAAGCCATGATAAACCCAAGCATCTGTCAGTCATACTGTGGGTTGTCAGGCAAACACCCAGCCCATTGTGGCTTATTCACCGAGTGATTTAGTTTGTCACACAAACCTACCCATTGTGCCTTTTCCCCCTCTCTTTAATATTTAGTTTCTGTTTCTGAGGAGACAGACCGTCACATAAGATTTGGGCTGCAGCTTACCAAAATCCTCTACTTCTGTTATATATTTCGTAGGGAAGCCATGAAATTGAAAGTACAGTGGATATTCTGGTATATAGAATTGGAAGATAAATCTTTTTGATTTTGAACTTTGCTGTGCTGAATTCCTTTTACTGCATCAAATCTCAAGAAACAAAGTTTTGCACATCACTGGGATCTACCAACCACATTCAAATATCTGTGTATAAACTTGCTTGCAACTCACAGATCCCTGTTGTCCTGAGTGAAGAACAAACTTCATAATTGCAAACCTATGTTTTTAAATGTGGGTTTGTAAAGTGAGGTGGGGTGGAAGTTGTTTTTGAAGTATAAAACAAGCCTAAGGGGCTGAATTAGGACCCCTTCTCCAGCCTGATGCTTCCCTTCCTCTCCCTGAATAATTTCCCCCCAGTACTAAAAGTGAGTTTGGCTGGGATAAATGTGACTAGAGGGGAGAGTGTAGAAAAAGGAGGTGGCTGGTTTGTGAGAGGGGCTCTTTATCATACTTAAACTGCATCACCTATCCCACCCACATATTTTGGCACTGACAATGAATGTCAGTGAATGTTTAAGGTAAAAGGCTGGCAGGGGATGATGGAATAAGAAGCAGATGTGCTCACACTGTTGCTGGCTATATTTTCTCTATTGTTAAAAGTCCAGTGCCTGAGTTTGAACATTCAATAGATATATGAAGTTTCCTCCGTTCTACCTAAACATTACTAAATAAGAAGGAATCATTGCTCATTGTCCTAGGTTGGAGCAAGATATTAAGAAGTTAAAGGCCGACCTCCAGGCGAGTAGGCAGATTGAACAAGAGCTGCGTAGCCAGATCAGTTCTCTGACCAGCACAGAGCGGGGAATTCGGTCTGAAATTGGACAGCTCAGACAGGAAAACGAGCTGCTTCAGAATAAGTAAGTATAGCTCCTCATCCACCCAAAAAATATTGGAATCCCTTTCTGCTGATGATTATAGCTACTATATCTGTATATTTTTAACATTTAGTTTTGCTAAATCACAGTTCAGTGGCTCAGTGACAGAGATTTAAGATTTGATAGTCCTCAACTTTGGCTGGATCATGTCCTGAGTTTTTTTGCCCACTGCTCTCTATAGTTGGGAAAACCAGGTTAAAAAAACCCCACCCTTGTCATTGGCCATGTTTTCTGTACACATATGAGGGAGGAATGAAGTAAATAGCATAGAGTGGTTTGAAAGCTAAATTAATAATAACTAATTCCCACTGATCCATATAAATGCTCTATGAGCATTCAATATTTATTCTTCTCCACAGAAGCACTTGATTTAAAACAATTAAAAGGTCACACTTGTTAACAGATTTTTTTTTTTAAATAGCTCCAGTATAGCACCCTTCATTCTGGAAAAGTAATGTAAATATTCTCTCCCATCCATTCAAATACTGTTCTTAAAGTCCCTTAAATTCCAACCAAAACAGGCAATAAATGGGAATGTAAGTATTTCTGTAAATTATTCCCATGAATGAAAAATTACAGCAAAAGTACAGCAAAAGTCTGTTTAGATAATAACATTCTTGTCTTGTGTATGTGCAATGGATCCATCTGTTCTCTAAGCCACCACAACCCATTAAGAAATTTAAGCACCTCACTCCTTCCAGAGCTGCTACATGTAGCTATTTGTCCAAGCAAATGCACCTAAACTGCATAGATAGCCTTCCAAAAGAGGGATTTCCCTTCATCAGTGCTGCCACCACCACCATTTTGAAACCTGTTAATGGGCTGGCCTTTGGCCTTACTCTCCTTGCAAGGGAATCTGAGGGAATGTGCTAATTTTAGGCACATTTCCTGATGTGTAGGTGCTAAGCTGGATGCAATACCACTTTGAGGACAACCAATTGCTCCAAATTAATCCATGGCAATTGGAGAATATGCCTGAGTTCATCCATATATATATATGAACATCTTATCAAGGGATTTTGAGGAAGATGGTCAAATCTGTTTTTAATGTACATTAAACCTATTATTCATATTCACAAGTATGTATGTCTAGTTACCTTCTTGCATTAAGCCAGTGCAGTAGTGCAGTGGCCAAAGATATATTGTGAAATGTACACATTTATTCTGTATGTTCAGAAATGTGGAAACTTCTATGAGTAAAAAGTGCACATAGCTCTGATATACCAGCCACAGGGAAGCTTTACATGCCAGGAGCTGAGCCCCAGAAATCCCGGCCTCCATTATAATAGTGTTGCATGCTCTAGCTCCTTTGCTCAAAATAGAACTTCCCAAACAGTATTCATTAGTCTACTGACTACAGCTCCTATCATACCCAGTCGCCATGGCTAGTGCGCCAAGTCTTGTCCACCATGCTTTTTTCCCCAAAGATGTAATTTTACCCCCTCATTGGAAAGAATCAGTTTGGCCCTCTGTAAATTTTTTACTGCATTAATACTAAATTTTCCTAGTAATTTGCATAAATAAAAATTTTATATCTTCTCCCCTCTTTTTTAGACTACATAATGCTGTACAAATGAAACAAAAAGATAAGCAGACTATTGGCCAATTGGAGAAAAAACTAAAAGCAGAGCAAGAAGCACGAACCTTTGTAGAAAAGCAGTTGATGGAAGAAAAAAAAAGAAAGAAGTTGGAAGAAGCAACCGCTGCACGAGCTGTCGCGTTTGCTGCTGCTACCAGGTATTTGGCTTCCTTTGCTTTTTTCTGCCTGGAGCCAGCGTATAAGTTCAATGGATTCAAATAGAAAGACTGATTCTTGCTTGCTTGCTTGCTTGCTTGCTTGCTTGCTTGCTTGCTTGCTTGCTTGCGAATGAATGAATGAATGATATTTATATGCTGTCCTTTGCAAAAGCCTCAGGACTTAAATGGTTGTTAATTTATTAACAATTGCCAGTATGTCAGAAGGTGAATTCAGTGCCCTTAACCTTTATCCAACTGGTATTTTTTAAAATTTGCAATGATGAACCTTACCATTTTTATTTATTTTTTATTTAGATTTCTATACACTGCCCCATTCTAAGCAGTTTACAAGAGATTAATGCCAACAACAGTTAAAATTTGAACTAAAAACAAGCATATTAAATAAAACTAATCTGGGGAAGGCCTCGGGAAAGATTCATCTTTACTTCCCTCTTGAAGGTAGCAATCTGGGATATCAGATGCATCTCTCCTGGCAGGCCATTCCATAGTTTAGGGGCAACCACTGAGAAAGACAGCTTCAGATTAACCCCACACAATAGCCTTCCTTCAAGCAGGCAGGATCTCTTCCCTCTCTGATGGAGGAATTGATGATAAGGCATAATAGCTCCCTCACTGACTCCATCCCCTGTACCCCCAGCCAGATGGACACAGATCAAGAGGACAGGTGGTTCTTCTCACTAGTCCAGGCAGCCTGTCAACATCTTTAGGATTTACAGATTAAAATTGATTCAGGATAACCCCATTCCAGGAGTTGCTGGATCCCTCTGTGTTGATTTCCACCTGCACGATAGCATCAAGCTTGAACCCCATCCAAGAAATTTTATCTGTGAAGTGATTGTTAAAGGTGTCACAGCGAGCGATTGATGGCCCCAAAGATAGTTTAGGGGGCATTGAGGCTTGAGCTCATATGCTTGAGTGCAGGAAAATCATGATTGTGTAGTAAAACAAGTGGATATTTTCAAATGATATATTTTTTGATGATACTCATATTCCTTGAGTTGTATGATACAGAAAAGCAAATGCAACTTCTTTTTCCTTTCACTTTTTGAGTCTCATTAACACATTAATGAAAGTAGCACTGTTGAACACAGAAAGTATGCCTGATTCACTCTTTCCATTTTGCCTGGCAGAGGAGAATGCACTGAAACTCTACGAAATCGCATCAGAGACCTGGAGACAGAGTGCAAGAAACTGACGATTGACATAAAGCTGAAAGAAGACCAGATACGAGATCTAGAAATGAAAGTTCAGGTAACAAGCACCAAGACAACGCAGGTGTCCCTCGCTTGTTGATGCCGGCAGACACAGTCCAGGCCGTGGGCCATGGCAATGCTGGCTGTGTGGCACGAGAGTTGCCCTGGAGGGCACCAGATTAGGGGAGGCTATTCTAAGAAGAGTTTGGTCAAATTTGGGCACTGAATGCAAGACTGAAAGCTGATTTTTTCCCTTCATTATGCTTTCCTCTTTTCTTGAGAGACGGTTGATGAGAGGTCTGGAGCAAACCATGAAGTTCATTAATAAACCCTGGATTTGGCACCATTATGTGCATTGGGGCCACATGTGATCCAATTTGTCACCAAGTATATATCTGATGGGCTGCTACAGCCACAGCTCCCCCGGAGGTTTATTTCTTACTCTGCACACTTAACTTTGAACATGTGATTGTCATAATCATGTGTTACATTTTTAGGTGTGCATGGGAAAACTTCCTAGGCTATAGGGTGAGAACAGATTTTTCTAAGTGGGATCATCAGCAAAATTTTGTAGGTGGGTGGGTGTTTCTGTCTTCCAGATAAAGCAAATCAGAAGCATGATAAAACAAACACGTTTGATTGTCAGGAAAAAGTAAAAGAGCAAGAGGGCAGGTGCCTGTCCTTGAGCAGCGGATTCTTCAGTTAGGTGCTTCTCCACCAGTTGTGGTTTAGATGGTGGCATGATTGGGCCTCGCTAGACTACTGCAGTTCTTAGCACTCAACTACTCTTTAAATGACCTGATTCTGAGCCATTCAGTGATTTAAAATGAAAGTAGTTTGCCTGCTCATTGCACTTTTTCTTGAGTCAAAAAGATTTGGCAAGTTCTAGTCTTTTTTCAAAAACCTGCAAAGCCTGTTTGATCAAAGGGAACATGAAGACAAATGAAAATTTGGGTACTCGGTGAAAAGATACTTTTCTGAAACCTTGCTCAATGCCTTTCAAGCATTTGTCTTCAGCCTTTCATATTCACCTAAAAGATTACTGACAAAATAGTCCTTTTCAAAGAGAACTGCTGCTTATTGTTACTTCAATTGTCTTGTGGTCTTTTTTATTATTTTGGTTTTTAACTCAAGATAATTTTGTTCTAATCTTGTAATTTGCTTGTGATGTGTGTTACAGTGTGAAGTGCCTTGAGGTTCAGTGTAGCAGAATAAGGCAGAGTAAAGTTATTTTGCATAAATGAATTCCAGGTTTGGAACCCCGCTCTTGGAAGAAGATTAAAACATCTGGGATGAGGGAGCAGGGAAGATGGGCATTTGCTCTGTATAACATGTATTTCCACCCTAATATAATGCTCCTCAATCGTTAGAAAAATGTTTAAGTTGAACATCTATAAAAATAGATACAAGTTCTACATCTGTTTCTGAACCTGTTCTTAGTTTAGTTTTTTCATTTATTCTGTTAGGTTTGCAGTAAAACATTTCTGTCTTTTCAGTGTTTTCCTTTTTTCTTGTGCTGCATTAGAAGGCCAATGCTGTCAAATTAGCTAGGGAAAAATAACACAATTCTTGATTTAATTTACGGAACCCTGGGGAATATACACAGGAATAATGTCTTAATAATCTCAAGCTTTATGTTTATGCATTGAAAAGAAGGACAGTTTGATCTTATGCATGCGACATACTAAATAAAGTTATTTTTATTGCCATAAAATAGTTACAGCAAAAATTTTAAAGAGCACCCCAGCCTTAAAATAGAGCCTGGACAGGTTGGGTAAGTTAGAAACCCTGAAGCAAAGAAAATAATTTAATTTGTGGACCAAGGCAGTTAGATACCCTCTTCCTTTGTGTGCTTGCAAATATGAGCTTCCAGAGTCGTTCTCTGGCGTACCAAGACCCAGCTCGTCCATTCTCTTTGCACACCACTTATTTTCCTGCCTCGAGGTCCCTTCTTGAGGAAAAGGCCCAGTGGTATGGGGTGTATTTTTCACAGAGGAGGACGCAGGTTCAGCCCTGATCATTGAGCCTGGCATACCATGCGCTCTCGAGTAGCAGGACTAAGAATGTTCGGTTTAGCCTGAGTCTCTGGAGACCTGCTGCTAGTTAGAGTAGACTCTAGAGTAGAGTAGAGGTTTAGATGGACTAATGTCTGGCCTTGGTATTTCACAGCAAAAGCACTGATCATTATGATGTGCAAATGAGGCTCCCGCAGTGCGTGAGGAACCTTGCCCGGAGGCCATATCGGGGGTTCTCCCCAGCTTTCCCGTTACTGCTGCTCCTTGCTTGCTGGGCAGAGAGCCAGGAAGCAAGACGGCTGGGGCACCTGCTGGTGTTCTTGCCACCACTGTCACTGGCTGGGCCAGGGCAAGAGGCAGGGAAACAAGCAGGTTCCAGTGGTGAAGCAGAGCTTGCCATGCAGGGGCCTCTTGGCAGGTTCCTTACCATGCCTGCCCCTGGCACCCATGCGAGGCAGGGCCAGTTGGAAAAACGGCCAGACCACATGGGGAAACCCGCAGACTAGAAGCTCTCCATTCCGGATATAAACAAAGCTGCACTGGCGGGAGCCATGGTCAAATATGGCCCACCCGGTGTCCTGTTGTGGCCCTCTGGCATTCCCCAGACAGCCGTACCCACCCTGCCCTGCACCAAGTCCTGGGTGCTTTGCCAGCATTTGTGCCGGTCCTCCTCCCCCATTTTAAAGGTTAAAATAGGCTAGTCTGTTCTGGTATTTTAGGCTTCATGGGAGATATGGCTATCAGTAGCCGCTTGTCAAGGTGGCTGTGTGCTCTGATGTCTCCTGCCCAGGCGCTTTCTCTTATGCCTGGTCAGCCACAGATGGAGAGAACCCCCACAGCAGGCTGTCATTGTGTTTTGGGATGTCTACATTCACATTAAACAGGCCATGAGAATAACACAGGCAACCTTCTATTCCTTTGGGAAGGGCAGGCCAAGAAACTATTACACTAGAATGTTTAAATTTCCAAGCAGCAACTTTATAGTCAGGTTATGACGCATGCATGTTTTTTACATCCTGCTTTCAAGGTCAGATGGTTCTAAACCCAACATATATGGCAAATGTGCCCCCAAATTTCATTTCCCTCCCTCAGCCCCCGAGAAACATTTAATTTTTTCTTCGCCCTGTTGTTGCCCTGCATCTCAGTGTAAAGAGCCTATTTGTAACAGTCCCGCTTTAATTATTCTCAAAGGAACTGCGGAAATACAAAGAGAATGAAAAGGAAACAGAGGTGTTAATGTCCGCACTTTCAGCCATGCAGGATAAGACACAGCACTTAGAGAACAGCTTGAGTGCAGAGACGAGGATCAAGTTGGACCTGTTCTCTGCATTAGGAGATGCAAAGAGACAACTCGAGATAGCCCAAGGTAAGCGGATTCCTCCTGGTATGTGCGGCTAGGCTGCCCAGTAGAAAATGTGGGGGTGCCCCCTGGTGTTCATGGAGCTATTGTGAGTGAGCTCCAAAGAACTGCATGTGCCAAGAAAAAAGCTTCCGTGTGCGCAGCAGAGCTGTTTCACATGTAATGACAGGTTGTTGGCAAACCATCCGTTAGAACAGGGCTGTTTGTTCCTTGACAACAGAGAGTGCTTGGTTTGGGTGCCACACCAAATAATGCAGGACAGAAACTACACAACACATGGTTGTAAGGCGAGGCACTTGCTGCCGTGAAGTCCCAACAACCCAGAAATTTAGCATCCCGTGGGCTGGCATTACGGAGGAACAAGGCCAGTGGGTTTTGGGTAGGGGATGCTCGCCAGTTTTCCTCTTTGAGATGTATTTTCTTGTGTTATATCCAGACCTGAATCAGAGGCCCCCTCCCAACCATCAGGGCTAGCTTTTGCAGGAGCACAAGAGACTGCATTGTGTAAGGTAGCAGTATATACACGGCCTTTGAGGTTTTGGCCCTTGAATACCGAGACTATCTTTGAAATAGCCCTTGCAAAAAAAAATCTGTGGGGACACATAATGCACTCAAAAATTTTGACTTGTCCTAGAAACTCCCCTGACAAATTTCTTTAGTTTTCCCTAAAATCCCCCAGTTTTGTCCCTAAGAAGGAATCCCAGCTGCCCATTAAATTTTGCTTTAGGCAAGTCTCAGTGCTGCTGAATGCCAGGGGGGCTTTCAAACACAATCAGTGGAAGTTCAGCCATTAAGTAACCTTATCTACAACTTCCACATCAACCAGTAGTTCTGGGAGTGAGAGTGGAGACATGTAGAATGTAGGCAACCAATTCAAAAATTTGAGAATAATTGCTTTGGCCCCCATGAGGAGTTGCAAGTCAGCCAAAAAGTTGTAGCATCCTCCATAACAAGAGACACGACGATTTTTTTTTTCTTTCTCTCGAAGAACGGAAACAACAAAATATGGTTAAATTGTACTGGATCTTTGAGTGCAATGTCAAGTGTGAATGCTGCAAAACTGTGACATGGTAGCACGTTAAGAACCCAGTGGAATTCCTCATTTAGATACGCATTGCAGGAATACAAAATGCTGAGGGAAGTGGGAAAAGAAAAGTGGAAATTTACTTAAATAGTTTAATTTGCATGTCCCACTCCTTGGCAATTGCTGTACATTCTAACTTTCGGGAAATAACTTTCCAGTGCAGTCCTCTGTAAAAATGTAGTAAAATTATCTAGTAGGAAGTTCTAATTAAGGCTGCATCCAGTTTTCCTCCTCAGTGGTTGAGGGAGAATCGCTCTCTGCTTGGAAAGCCCTCATGCCATAAACGCTTCTTCACTGCTGTTGATGCTGTTTTGCACCTTCTCATTCCCACTTTCCCGCTTTGGCATGTTTTGTTTGTCAAAGCTGTCACGTTCCCAGAGTGACCACAGCCTGCCAGGGATCATGTACATCTCGATGCCTCATAGCCGGCCTTGGCGGCGTGACCTCATCACTGAGGGCAAACACATCCCTGTCATCTTGTCTGTGCCAATCACTGCCGGGCCCTTTGACCCCCTTTTTCCTTCTGTCACCCAGAAGAGCACTGCTGATGGCAATCACCTCTCTGGTGAGATTTGCCTGCAAAACCCAGCCGCCCCCTTCGTTTTCCTGATCAGTTCCACTTCTGATTAGTTGTGGACTGCAAAATGCCACTTCAGCCAGCAGAGGGTGCCCAAAGCTAGTGAAAGATTGGTGTTCTCTGACAGACGAATATGTGCTGCATTTAGATGTTTGCTGTTCTAAATGGATTTGCAGTGATCCCCGTCCCTCATACCTTTGGGCTCTCCCATCGGAACATAGAATCGTAGAATGGTGGGGTTGGAAGGGACCGGAAGGCCGTCGAGTCCAACCTCTCCTGCTCAGTGCAGGACACTTGAGTTAATCCTCAGGTAGCTGGGCAGTTGCTTTCTTTTTTTTTGGCCAGGTCTGTGGGGTGCTAGTAGTGGCTGATCCTTTTCTTCTTTTTGTTTCATATCACAGGGCAAATAATTCAGAAAGATCAGGAAATCAAGGACCTAAAACAGAAGATAGCAGAAGTTATGGCAGTCATGCCCAGCATAACGTACACTGCGGCCACCAGCACGCTGAGTCCTGTTTCCCCACATTACTCTTCCAAATTTGTGGAGACCAGCCCTTCTGGACTCGATCCGAATGCCTCAGTTTATCAACCCCTGAAGAAGTAAATGCCAACTTCCGATTTGTTACACAGAAGGCATCACACAGAAAAATCTCTTGCAGTCAAGATGAAATTTGTATTGTGTGAGACTGTACTGATTTATTGTTTAAAAAATGAAAATAAAAAGAAGGAAGTGGGGGAAAGAACCCCAACACTGAGATTTGGCTAGAACTGCCCATCAGTTTTTTCTTGTAAATTTTTAGAAAACCTCACAGAACTTTAAGGTTTTTTTCTTGGCCAATGCATTAAGGGAAAAAGAACCCATAATTCTTGATTTTCATGTAGCAAATTCTGCCTCTCTCCTTTTTAAAATATTCTCTCTCTCTCTCTCTCTCTCTCTCTCTCTCTCTCTCTCTCTCTCTCTCTCTCTCTCTCGGTTTCCTCTTGAAAAGGTAGAACTAACTTGGAGCTCTGCTTGATTCTAAACCCTTTCTTTCATTTTTTAAAAATATAATGAAGCTAAAATAGCAAATTAAAAATTGCAAGAAATAATGATGGAAATTCTTTTTTTTTTTTTTAGAATGAAAGGGTTTACATTCAAACAAAGCTTTGATAACATCAGTGTGCCATGAAGTGGGGAGGAAGAGATCAAGAAATCAATTGGCTTACCCCTCTAAGGACCAAACATATTTCAGGGGGCATCGGTTTTAACAGAAGGCATGAGAAATGCAGGATGCATAGACAATAATGTACCCTTGGTGGTTGCGTGAGGTATTTAGGTTCCCATCAGTGCATGTAGTCACGCGAGGACTGCTCATAGACTTGTTCAACAGTGCCTTGGGAAAAGAGGTCTTTCAAGAGGAAACTTGACAGTTTTAAGAATGTTCTCCCCTTTTGCTCTCATCTAACAGCCTTTTCCAACCTGGTGCCCCCCCCCCAGATGTGTGGGGCTACAATCCCCATCTTCTCAGCAGCATTTCCAGTGGGGGTGATGGGGGTCCTGCCTCAATACATCTGGAGGCCACTAGGCTAGGGAAGCTTGTAACTCCGAGCTCATATTACAGAGTCTACTGCTGATCGTACATGGTAATTTGGATGCCCGTTGCAGTCCATGGTTTTGTTTGTTTGTTTTGGGTAAAAATCCAACAGTGTTCACTGAGGAGGATAGGCTGTGGAGGGATCAGTAGTGACAGAGGGAGTTCTGGTGAAGGCGGAACTGTGCAATGTACTGAATACAAGAGGCTGTCAAGCCAGCTCATAAACGTGGCAGTCTGAGAGGTTTTTGGTTTTTTAACTCAACTGCAGTTACTCTTTATATCCTCTTGTGTTTGACAATTTAATTTCAGTGGGGCTGACTAAATCTCAGCCGGTGTGCCAAGGAGTTTTTAAAAAGAGTTTTAAAAAAGAAACTCGGGAAATTGCACAAAGATTTAAGTTTCAGTGTATATTGTGCATTGGTAGGAAAGTGTGTTGCACTGGCGACTTTTGAAGTGTTTAAGGTTTGGGTGTGGGTGGGAAGGGCAGTGGGGCAGGGATACAAAATTGTATTAGTAACTAGCAAAATTATAAAATCAAACCATTATGATTTTGTAAACATGCAGTGGACTCTGGAAGGACAAGGTTCTTCTTTAAAAAACAACATTTTTTAAAGTTTCATATGAATTGGCAAGTATGCCTTGTTTAAAAAAAATTAAGTAGGACAAGCAAGTCAATAAAAATAGGAGTATTAAAGATCCATCATTTTAAATCAGAGATTCTTTTGAGAAAAATCTTCTAGCTTTAGCCAGGTGTGCATGTTGCCGTCATTTTGCATTTTTGAATCATCTTGTGTAATTGTCACCATGAAAGTGTTACTCAGAAATGTCATAGGTTTTCATCTTTGTGCAAAACATGGACTATTGTCACTGACTTTTGTTTTGTGTTGAGGCTCCCCCATTTTTTTATTTTTATTTTTTATTATTTTTATTTTTGCTGCCTTTTGGGCACTACTTTCATTGAAATTCTCGGTCTTGGCTGCATTCTTTTTTTTTCTGTGGGGTTTACAAAAAAATAAACATTTTCTTGCAGATGAAGTAGTTTCTGTTTTTGTTTAAGTGGCCCAGATTATTATGATTTGTGAACATACGTGGCTTTTAATAATAACTAGGACTTTACACAGTTAAAGAAATTTTGGACAATTACTCATACATACCTTGATAGAAACCGTGTACATTTATGTGCCAACATAAAAGTGGAACCTCTTGTCTTTTAGAAGGAAGAGACTTCACCCTAGACTCTGAGGTGTGTTCCTCCTGAGATTGCTTTAAAAAAAATAACTGAAAATGTTTTAACATATGCTTACCACTTTAGTTGCTTCAACTAAATCAGAAGTTTAGTTGATAAATGATGCAGTCAGTTGTACCTTGATGCACTCAAGCCTTTGAGCTCTCTCCCTGCCGCTTCCACTCCACAATTCAGCAAGAGGGCTGCTTTCATTCTTCTAGCTGTGACCCTTCATAGGAAGAAGGAAGAAGACTTGAGAGCTGTCCCCGAATGCCTCGTATCCTGGAATCCCAATTTTCCTCCAGTATGCAGTATGTCTTTGCTGGTAACAATGATAAGAAAGAGCAAGTATACCTTAATCTCTGAGCGCTGCTTTTTATCCACTGACTTGCCTCACAAGCCTTGTGGGTGGAAGGCGGGGCACAAATCCTCTTGGGCCGAGTCTTTCGAACAAGCCCACAAAACGATCAGTCCCTTGAGATTTTCACTAGCCCTTCTCTCCCTGCATAATTGACACTGGGTGATGTCGGCGGCAAAATGCATGTATTTTTATCAAGCTGCCCTAGAGGCGATTCAAACCCACTGCAACTACCTAAACTGTTGGCTATTTGCCTCACTGTACTCACTAGCTTAAACAGGATAAATGGTGTCTGTAAATCAAAGGGCAGTGTGCTTACTGGAATCAGGAGAGCACCAATACAGAGCCATACACATCACTGGCATCCAGCACCCGCCTTCTGTGAGAATAGGGCTCTGCCCACTGGCATTCTCCCCATCTGATGCGGGTGCTTCCTCACACGCGCCAGCTTACTCGATTCAGCAGGTCTCCTCAGCCTCTGTCGTGTGCTCAGGGGTTGGAAGGGCTGCGGTGAACGAGAGGGAGCAGGGAAGCCTGGTCCTGACGAATCGGGACCCACACAAAGGGTGCTCGTCTTAGCAAAAAGAAGGGGAGCCCCTGCCCAGGCAGTGGAGCTGCTAGACTGCACCCAGCCGGTCCAGTTTACTGGGGAGATTCTGCCCGAAATGAACAGGAGCTGAGCAAAAGCTTGCAGGCCATCTTGCACTAGGGGCATGTGACTCATAGGTGCTGAAGAAATGTGCAGGTATGTTCCTTTTCTTTATTATGAAAATAGTCTTGTGTCTCCCTCTACAGGTTGGTATCCCATAATCATATGGTTAGTGAATAACCATGTTTGTTTTATCGCATGCTTTTATGGTACCTCTCTTCTGCTTTTTGTCCCTGCAACGAACCGATTTTATCCTCACAACAAGCCTGTAAGGTGGTTTAGGCAGAAAATCAGTGACTGGCCCAAGTCAACCAGTGAGCTTCCAACACTCCAGCCCCAGCACCACAGCAGTCCTTTTCAACACGATTCCTCCCACTGTCTTTGTTCCAGCATATGGCAAAGGCTAGGTCCTTGCCAAAGGGAATCGGGGTTCTTTCCTTCTTTCATATGTGGCTGATCTTCTTAACGTTTGGCACCAGTTGAACCAGTAAAATGTTGCTTCTCATTGCCTCCATACAGATAAATGTGTTTAATCAAGATTAGCATTAACTAAGATTTGGTGCCTCAACCCCAGATAAGAGTCTAAATGTGCAACAGGGCTGCATTTTAGCTTTTGAGCTAAGCCCTTTCCCTGAACTACATCAGTATGAAGACACCAGGGCGACCTACTTGCCAGCTTGCAAGCTAGAGAGGAATGAAAATGGCCTTATTCATGGTGGTTGAGTCAACAAGCTAGTTCACACAACATGGCTGCCCATGAGTTAAACCAATCTCACTGGTCAAGAACCAATTGGAAGAGAATGTTCACACTGCTTGCAGCACACCTGCGATTGTCTCCTTTGTAGGTTGCTTAAGTGTGTAATCCCAGAACACTGAGTTGCTTAAACAACACACTGATTAATCATGGCTTGCTGGATTAACAACTCACTTCTTAAAGTCTCTCAACAACTCAGTATTCTGGGTTCAGATGACACATTAAGCGATCCAAAAAGGAGCCGATCGCAAGCTGCTGAGGAAAGGTGGATGCGGCAAGCAAGCAGTAGGCAGCGCACCCATTCTCCCACTTGTGCGTGACAGCCTGAGGGTTCTTTAGCCCATAAGCTGTTGTGTTGTATGAACCTGGTCAATTTCCTGAACACAACCCATGGTTAATGCAAACTCACTGCAAACCACGGTGTTACATCCTGGCTTGTAGTTTATCTATGCATGGTTTGTATTCTGACGTAACTTGATTAAATAAAACACACAATTAAACCCTATTCTTCCACAGAGCTTTGTGTGTGCTGATTGCTTTTCAGTCCAAAGCAAACTGGGCAAGACTTGAGGCTGCCACTTGATGGCCATCTTACCCTACATCTTTTGCTTGAACACTGCACAGAATACATAGTCAATATCTGGGTATTAAAACCAATTATGCAGAGTGCCCAAGACTTCCCATGGTGCCATTCTTTCTAGAAGTTATATTGGACCTAACATCACTTCTATAAACAGTCTCACTTTCCTCTTAAAGCATGCTAAGAGTGGAAACTTTCTGCTCAAAAAAATGTTGAACCATATATCAAAGTGCAGTGCCATCTGTTCTCTGCCATCCTTTTGGGGATGATTAAGGAGGCAGATTACATTGTTCCAATTAAAATTATGAAAGTTAGAAACATGTTTGTTTGAAGTGTGTCGTCTGTTTCTTTTATGCAAGATAAGTAATTAATGGAATGCAATCTTTTTAGATAGTAGAAACCTGCTCCTGGCCAGCCTTTGATCTACAGATACTTTAGTGGCTTGAAGTGAAAAGGAAGTTTCCTTCAATTTACTCATCAAAGTTTTACTTTCAGTGCTGCCAAATTGCAAGGAACAAAATGCGCGGGGAGCGGGCTCGGATTATGACAGATTTGGCTTATAATAGACTTCTAACAAAGCAACTTCAAGTATAATGTTCACTCCCATGATTGATTTGCTTGGAACTGAATCTGTGTGACAAGAACACTCCTATCAGTTTTAGTTATCACATTCATTATGCATCCCCGGATTTATCTCAATTAAGCCTTTTTTTGCGGTGAAATCTGAAGGGTTAGCACTCTGTTCCTAGAGCTGACTTTTTAAAATGTGCCTTTCTGTTTCTTCCAATCATCTGTAGCCCTTACATAATGATTCCAGCAAAGACTGAGCAATTAATTTGTTGCCCTTGGCTCTTTCCTAGCTTGGCTGCAGACATCAGAGCACTCAGCCTGGGAGCAAAACTGTGCGCAAGGCACTGGTTGCTTGCATCACCAGGGCCACTGACTGATTGAAGAGAGGAGCCACAGGAAGGCCGTATTAAGTTGGGTAACTTGCATGACCGCCCAGAATTCTAGCAGGTGACAACAGGGAACCAATCCCATGTCACTGCCTGCCAGTAGCATGGGCTTCTCAGTCCTGAGCCTAAGCTAACAGACGGCTATCAGCCCCTCGACCAGCTTAGGCTGGGGACCATGGGAGCCAACGTTGCTTACCTGGGCATCCTGTTCTGTTTTTAGAAACACTCCCTAGCCAGGAGGCAGCTGTTCAAACACATACATGCTTCCATATAGCTGCTTGTTTTCTTATTACATGAAAGCTGCATTTTTCGGCAACATGATGGTCCTTATTTCCAGTGAACATGCATAGCATCAGGGAGCAGAAGCAACCCCATTTTATTCCTGTAGTCATGATGTTGCTGTGGTTGGAGATGATTTAAAATGGAACCTGTACTTGCTTAGAGTACTTCTTGTTTTTTAATCAGAGCTGGCAAGCCGGGTTATTGTTTTGCTCTAACCTAGCAGAAATCTAGGAATGAGGGAGGAAGCTGGAATGCCTGTTGAGTGGGGGAGAAGAGAATGGTCAGTGTGTGTCACACAAGACATCAAAAGGGGGGTGGAAGGGTTTGTAGGCTATTAAGGCCAGAGTCCAAAATTCCCCAGGTGTGCCACTGACTTTTGCATAGGTGATGGGACAGAACAAACAACTCAAGAAAGGCATTTCCAAAGCCTCGAGGCTACCGAGGACATACTCTACAATTGCAATACCTCAAATGCAGGTGGGGGGACCTAGAGTAGGGAATCTAAAGAACTGAAAAGTACTGCTAAGTTCATGGGGAAAGGGAAGTTCTTTAGTGTGTCATCTAGGGGGTGTATTGGACTAGGGGATGTGTCAGAATTTCATCCTTGTCTGCAACTCATGTCACATCAACAACCCAAACACAAGAATTATCACCATTCTTGGAAAATCTCCCAAGTACATTAGTACTTTTAAATGTGCACTTCTGAAATGCACATTGCTGATTGAAAATACAGAGTTTTTCTGCTCAGTTTGCTTGTTTTTAATATGTTCACATTCAGAAATGCAAACAAGGTGAAATTAACTTTGAGAACATATTTGATTAACTTTGGTGTTTTCATCTGTCCCTAGACTGGACATTTAAGGCTTCCTGTGCTGGGCCTAGAAACCAACCAGCAGTCAACTGGTGTCTCCATTAAGTGTGGGTAAGATATTCAACCAACCAGACATTTTAGTTAGTGTCTTTAAAGGCACTGAAAGACAACGTATTCCCCATTGAACAGGCCCATTCTAAGAGCAAAACAAAAGAGGGCAGTTTGAAACAACATCAAAATCATAGCAGTGCCAAGTGAGAATGGATTTTTTTCATATTTGTTGCTACCTGGTCACATCTGCCAATCGGGTATTATGGAAAGGGTGTGGATCCTCTTTCAGCCAGAGGGCTAAATTCAAGTTTGGAGTGCGTAGGGATGCATTCCCATAAGGAGCATGGCTGAAATCAGGAAGGGAAGGGC